CGCACATATCACATACTAGAGGTAATTACTTCATCAATTACGTCACGCTATAGACATCACATTCTGCTACGAACTGCCTAGTCATTTACGTAACAATATCATCTTTCTCATACAACACTGAACGCTTAAAATATAAAACAATTATTTGCTAAGTAACTTGTCTAACCCCCCTATCACACCAAACTAGTTCTTACCCGTTCTTGCCAGTCCTGCGAAAACATCGTAAAACGGGCTCAATCTGGCTGTTGTCGGGAAATATACATTGATTAATATAATGAAACACAGAAGAACATTAATATTTTAATATGGCTAAACTGATTATATTTTAAACACCATTTTAAAAATTGAATTCTAATGTACTACATTTTATAGTCTCTCCTAAGCCGGCAACGGCTTGATGTCCAGGAGACATGTGAGACTTTAATAAACAAATATACAATACTATACATCGTTCTGCTTATGCCTTCATTTTATGCTGCATATTTCTCTCGCTTTTGGGAAGCTACGCCCGCCGTACGATTGCTGGAGATCAAATATGATGGATATACCCTATAAACACACACGAAAGACATTTTGCGAAGCCACATTTACCATGTAATTGATGACATTTAAAACTTCACCACTGAACAGTCTGCGCTATTTGGTACTCCAGTACCTCTTTCATCTCTTGCGTCTCTTGTTGCGACCCCAAACGCACCATTATTATCATCAAGATACAATCTGGTGGTCGTGCTCCTCGATCCATCAGGTATGAAATGAACTTCTTCATTTTGTTAACGTAAACGTAACAGTTTTGATACCGCCATTCGTAACCTCCTGTCTTTCTTACAGAATATTATTGGATTAACCACAGATTTTACCAATAATATTTTGTATGTGATACTCATTAGTACAAAAATCGTGCCCGAATCGAGACTTGTGCGAGTCAGAACGATTCTCACGAAAAGTAATGGAATCCAAGATAGTATAAATAAACCTAAGATTGTTACTACGTTTTTCAGGATCTTGAAGATACGTTTATATGCCACAGCTTTGGTATGGTTCACGGCTTGAATCTGAGCCAGAATCTGCGAGCGCTTCATTTTGGCAACCCAGAATATCTTCCCATACAAGCCGGCCGTTAGTACCATCGAAGCGTAAACAATGGGATTCAAGACGGCTGAGTTATAAACATTAAGAAGTGTGTTCTGTACTGAACACTGTTTGTTGACGTCCCACCTGTTCCAGACAAGGAATGCAGGGGCAGTAATGACGAATACAAGAACCCAACATAACAGGCTAAGTAAAATCGTATTTCTCTTACACATCCAACGATCATAACGAAATGGCAACACAATCGCTACAAAGCGCTCTATTGCCAGTGTGGCAAAAAGGAACAATTCGCCACCTGTACTAAGCAGCGTAAAGAATATTCGCAAGAAGCAAACGTATTTTTTATCAACCATACCTAGAACGAGACCTCTTGCTATGTCATATTCATATGTCATGGCTTCTCGAATCGGTATTCCAAATAATCCTTGTATGAAGTCAACTATTGCTATGTTCAAGACTATGATATTTGGAGGCGTCTGCAAGTATTCATGTTTTAAAACTACTGTTATTAGCAAACCATTGTTAAGAATCATGAAAACAAAGATGACGACAGCCCAACATAACAGTCCAATGTGTACATTTCTTGTATCCACTTCCCTTTGCCAGTTGTACAAGTAACTTACATTGTGTTCTAATGTTCTAGTGCCATCCATTCTAATTTTTAACACTTCAAAATCCTGATTTACACGAAGTGGCAAACGATTGTGTTTGTTTTTGTTACGTAAAGAGTAGTACGGTTTTACTGATAAAGGAGGAGAGATTTCGGACAGTCATATGCTGGATTTTGGCTATTCTCTTAGGATTTAAACAGGGGCATATGACACACAGTTAACCCCTTTAAAGGAATAAGTAATTCCTTCAGGGGTTTTAAAAATATTCATGATGGGTGACCAAAATTTGCTGAAAGCAATGGATCGCATGAGTTTTCCCTATGGGAAAATAACATGGGAAATATTGTTTTCCACTTTATCTAAAAGGAATTACTTATTCTTTTATATTGGTTAACTGTGTGTCAAAACGCAACATATTAATGCAAAAAATTAAAAAAGCAGGGGTGGAAGGGGTTGAAAATCAGGTAAACATTTCAGAAAAATACGTTTGTATCTTCCCTGTCTTAATGTCAAACTTATTTTATCATCTCTATGAGTGCTTTTCCTGGAGGTAATGCATTGGCCTAGCATATGCACCTGTTTAAATCCTCACAAAATAGCCAAAATCCAACATATGCCTGTCCAAAATCTGTTGCGCTACTTTCCCTCCTCCTTTTACTGACTTGTTGAATTATTTCTCTGTATATCTTTGTCCTTTAATATCGTAGTTGTGTCACATTCATCATAATTGCCTCTAAGCTACCGGTCAGTTATTAGCAAGATATTATGGTTGTTTTATAGTAGTATATATATACTGTTATTACTTTATCACATGATCTCAACTTAGGGACCATCTCATTGTTATTATCCTAACGAATTACTGCGTTTTTACTAGAATTTATCGTGCATATTTAACTACAACCTTCACTAACTTCAACAAAAATTACAAGGCAATGTATCAAAAGAGATAGGCATTCAATTATTGTAATACACTTTTACTTTTTTCATTTGACAATCTTGTATAATCTTTGTACGCTGGGTGTATCTATTTTAGTGGAAAGCATGCCTGTAAAATTGACCCCTGTTGAAATCTCCCAAAATTGATAAATGATGATAAATCGATGATTTAGAAATCCCTAACATTCTAGTATGCTAATATTAATGACACCATACTATCGTAACAACACTGCGGTCTACAAGAACTATTGTTAGTACCTCAGTTGAAATACTCGATTTTGATTGGTCAACGAGCGGTGAATAATTTTAACTGTACACCGCGCAATGCATTGCCGGTGAATAATATTCCCAGCATTCCACTAAAATGACGTCATTATCAGACGATAAAATGGCCGCCGCTAGCACTAGCCGTTTCAAAAATGTTGAAGATGAGGATATTATTAGTCCCTTAGAGAGTAAAGACAGTCAAAATACGAAGAAAAATCTAAAACTTTGTACAAAGCTTTTAGTGGACTTCGCCCAGGAGAGTAATTTGACTCCATTGAGTGAACTTACAACATGAACGTCTCGAGGGTCTGGATCCAACTTCAAGTCAACTTCAAGGGTCAGAAAAATCTAAGATATTCTTCGGACTAACAAAACAATTATAGACCTCTCCATTCGGTTTACTGTCAAAATTATATCCCTCGACTGTAAACCTCGACCTACGGTCTCGGTTTACAGTCTCGGGATATAATTTTGACAGTAAACCTCTGGAGAGGTCAATAATTGTATATTGTTAGTACCTCAGTTGAAATACTCGATTTTGATTGGTCAACGAGCGGTGAATAATTTTAACTGTACACCGCGCAATGCATTGCCGGTGAATAATATTCCCAGCATTCCACTAAAATGACGTCATTATCAGACGATAAAATGGCCGCCGCTAGCACTAGCCGTTTCAAAAATGTTGAAGATGAGGATATTATTAGTCTCTTAGAGAGTAAAGACAGTCAAAATACGAAGAAAAATCTAAAATTTTGTACAAAGCTTTTAGTGGACTTCGCCCAGGAGAGTAATTTCACTCCATTGAGTGAACTTAGTTACTGCCGATATACTGAAATACAACATGAATGTCTCGAGGGTCTGGATCCAACTTCAAGTCAACTTCAAGGGTCAGAAAAATCTAAGATATTCTTCGGACTAACAAAACAATTATAGACCTCTCCATTCGGTTTACTGTCAAAATTAACGATAAGACGTGTAAACCGAGACCGTAGGTCTCGGTTTACAGTCTCGGGATATAATTTTGACAGTAAACCGAATGGAGAGGTCAATAATTGTATACTGTATAATAAATGAAACTAAGACTGGAGTAAGTTGAGCGGAAATTCTGTTCTGACTTTATTTTGAGACAATTCTTTGAATTTTAAGGTAATCTGGCAAAAATGAATAAAGTTAGCAAATTCAATTGTCTACCCAACTCGTATTTTTTGCAAGGACTCGGATGGATAGGTATTCTGTCATATGACTTGCGGCAAACCTACCATTTCCCATTGGTTTACATGGGAATGTCGATTTTCGAAAATTCATCAAAATCAGCAATGTTCGACTTATTGTTATCGAGGAAATAAATTGCGAAAATTTGGAGGTATTGGAAATGAAAAAATGCAAAGATAAAGAGGCTTTAACACGTAGTTCAATGGGGAGCAAAGGTTGCCAAACTTATGGAGGGGAGTGTACATGCGTAATTCACATGACAATATGCGTAAATCAGACAATTGTATGCAAAATACCATTTCCTTCAATAATCGTTTATATTATCTCAGGCACTACTCTCAAATAAGGCCACAGAACTCGAATTATCTTTTAACTAAGGACTATTTCTTATTTTGAAAAAGATCAATCTAAGTGTGTTTTATATATTGTATATATTTTTATTCTATGTTCATTTAACATTAATGTTATATCAGCATTATTTTCATTGTACACTGTATACATGTATCTCCTTTTCATAAAGGGCAATAAAGATATACATACATACATAACATCATCACTCTCCTGCTGTACCAGAATGTGGAATGTATTATTTGTTAATAATTTTCAATTTAGCAATTGAAATCGTATGAGCTCTAGCCTGTTCAAAACACCTGAATAATTATGTTTAATCCTATTTTTGCGGACAGATTGCAACCTCCAACACACGGTCTCGACGATCAAGCCAAAATATCATAACTTCTTTGTTCTATGAAAAGGTGGCAGGGTTGTGGGAAAATGTCTGTTGGTTAGAGCTCGAGATATAAAACCTAAAATTGCCTGTTTAACGCTCATGAAACGTGCGTGTACAGTAGGTCGAAGACATAAGCTTTAGTCAGATATAAAGATGTAAGTTATGTGGTTCATTGATTAATTTTTCCTCTCAAGAGAGAGTTGATAAACAGATTGACACCACTGCAATATACCCCAAGCTTATGGGTTCAGGCGACTTTATAGGTATGTACCAATATTTTAGTGGGCAATGTAGGATCTCACTAGATTTTTCGTAGTGGTGCATAAACTAGAAATTAATAACTTCATAAATGAGTATGCGTTATGACTTTTATTTTTGATTTTACCCATATTCTTAAATTACAATTGATCTCGCCATCTTTATTTAAACAGTAAGTTCATTTTAGATTAAAACTAATATTAGGGCATAATTTAAAATCGTATCGTTGAATCAACACATTTCGAGTAAAATGAAATAGCTAGTAACACAAGAACGACACCTTAAAATGATACTAAAATACATCCGTCTTTCAATATATATCTAAAATGTAGAAGACAATAGTCATCGATGCCACAATAATGACATATTTGGATACATCGGATCTTGAATCTCTAGATCTACCAAAAAGCATTTTATACACTAGCAAAATTCCTGAGGCTCCCAACGAGACTATTATAATTACAAAAATGGTCGACGGATTGGGGTTACCCGTCTCGCCAATGTCGCCATTATTGCGATTTGACTTTGACAATGGCTTTCTTTCCCCAGGGCCGTCAACAACAACATCATCAGCGTTTTCAAACTTGACTTCTTGAGTCTCAGTTGTTACGATGTGTTCCGTTATAGGCGAAGGAAAGGAACTACTGTCCCTAGAAATGTCTGTGTCATTCGAAAATAGCCTTACCGCTGATTTGTATTGGTTTTGAAATATTGTCGTTGCACCGTCATATTCAACCGATGCTAAACTGTTTGGCATTCCATTTCTTTTTTGAGCATTTGTATAATCTGTTATGACGGAGATGATATACACACCAGAGGAGGTGTTAATTTCCCAAACGATGTAGGATCCCGTGCTTTCAATTATATTCATGGAATTAATCGTCACTTGCGAGCTATGGATGATGTATGCCATTCTGTTAATGTCGTCGGGGAGTTCAAACGTAACATTAAGATTATGAATTCGATTATGGTTTGACGCAGTGTTTGATGGAAATGTTTTGATTGTAGATTCTGTCCCTTTACTTGTTTCAGCCATCCACTGAATGCGAAATGTGTCCCCACCGGTATCAATAATAGCACTGTCACATTCAATTCCGAGGTTGCACACGCCAATAAACTTGTTAAGATAATTGTTAAAAAATGTGCTTGTATGTGTGATTTTACTGCCTTTTCGCTTTTCAACGTGGTCCATAATAAATAAGAGATCGGGTTTCACTAGAATCAAGTTTCTATAGACGCTGCTGAGTTTTAAACTCGGATGATATGCATTTACGCTTTCACCTGCAATATGGACCATATCTTTATTAACGGAAGAGCTAATAATATCGCCTCTGTTATAAGTTTGTTCGACTTTTTTTCTCCACTGGAGCCATCGCTCACAATCTCCTAACTGGCCTCCCCAAGAACCTGTACACGGGCTAACGTCAGATGGATGAAACATTAGCACGTTATCCAGATAAGATAACTTGGTACCGTAAAGTCCTTCGCTTATCACAAGATTTCCATTGTGAAAATAAGTAAAGGAATTTTTGTCTGGGTGCTCGTGACCGGGATTAAAATGTATAGACGCTTTGATAGGGTTTTCGTCTGGTGCTTTGTGCACGTGATCATACACAGTCTCTCCGTGTATTTTACCGGATTTAAATGAGAGGAATGTATCCCGTTGAGGGTCATCTAGACCGGTAGAGTAGGTAATAACCCCCCATGCTTCAAATATGTACATTTGAGGCGTGTTGTGAAACAAAGGAGGTTCTGGACTTAAGTGCGGATCAAACCAGATATATTCAGTATGAATAGTGCATACTTTCTGACTACGACTCTGTTTCCTTGTCATATTTCTGGCATTCCGAATTTGGTTCGCTAACCAATTTCCATTCCCATTCTTCATTACAAATGTGTCGAGGTACACTAGTTGACTTCCCGGCCCGTAAAACCAGTTAATGTTGGAATCCGCGATGCCCACTGTTCTTTGATATCCAGGGTAAACGGTAGAATAATAGAACCAGAAATGGCTGCGGAGCCATTTGTTGTTGTGATGATCGATGTCTAAATGACGTTTAAGTAGGAAGCAATATTGTGTTATGGATCTGGCCGTGTAACTACCATACGCCACACCTTCATCTAAAGACCCATCGTGCGTTTGGTCAAGGAATGTCATTGTTTTGTCGAATTGTTGGATTGTATCAGATATCCATTTCTCTGCAGTCGGTGTGTACTTTCCTGAAATCAACAATATTTATTCATGATCCACTTGGTGTCAAATTTAATCTGCAAAGTCCAATCATAAATATTATTTTATGTGCGTATGTACGCCATATGTATATTTTTCAATACTCTGTTCGTTGAAATTTTACGTTTTTAATTATTAAAAACAACTTTAACTTATAAGCTTTGACTATCAAGTGGACAACTTTGTCAACGGTAGAGGTTACTTAAATTGAGTGTAGTTGATCATAGTGTTAAAAAGCTATTTGAAAAATTGATTCGAATTGAAAATGTCGTTAAACTATACTTAAAACTGAAACAATACGAAACATATTTGTGCGTTCATACTTGTCATTAGAGCTCCAGTTAAGAGGGCAACTAAATTGGTTGCGACATGATTTTGTAACAGCACTGTTCCCCACCACCTCTGTTTGGAAAGATTGTACATTTTCTGAGTCTCATTGACAATTTTCTTTATATATGCATCCTGTCTTTTTGGTTCTAATCGCGGAAATATAAAATCCACGGCTGTTGAAAAGCCAACGAGGGAATGAGCTAGTGGGACTTCATCCTCGGGCGCTTGAATTGTCACCCAAGTTGGTTGCTTTGCCATGTTATCTAAACTCTCCAGGAGGGTGTAAAACACTGCTTTGTCTTCAGGATTCAATACGGAGAATAGGGCAAGCGGTGGAAGACTGTTCCCATAGATTTCATTCCACTTGGATCCGAATTCTTGATACGTTTTTGGAGTGATATGCCCATACTTTCTAATCATGATCTCGGCAACAGCTTCTTTAAGATCGGCATATATATGTGCGTGTGTAGTTAAAGCACCATCCTGCAGTCTCTTTACATCGTGCTTGTTGAAGTATAAGAATGGGTGACTCTGTCTAGGTACGCTCTTTGCCGCCACCCCCAGGTCGGACTGGTGACAAAGATATAACATACACATATATAGTATGGCACATCTTTCAGCCCACAGGTCTTGACCAGGCATCAGGCTCGCTAGCACCACTACGAAAAACAATCACCTGAAAGAAGATAATGAATAAAATGGCTTAGCGTACTAGAAGTATGTACAGTAGATTATGCTAGTATAAGTAAAACACCTCTGTACCTCACAAGGGGAACATGTTTTTAAAGTTCTGCAGCTCATTGACTCAATGTTGATAAACATCGTCGGTTCGCCGGCTCAATCGCTACGTTCTATCAGGTCCGAAGCTCGATGAAACAAGACGGTTTATGAACCTCTGTGGAACACCTCGAAAATGGAACACTTTTTGTGATCTGAAGGGCGTTCAACTTACACAGGTTCTACTGTACTAGATCAATGCGCCCTCGATGTATGTTCAGTAAAACCTGAGCTAGTAATTATAAAGGTTCTAGTGAACACCTCTCACAACAAACAGTTCTTTGACAAAACATACACCTACATGTACCTACCGTGAACAATATAGACTTAATCCTCGTTAATTCTTCGAAACACACATGTCTTCTGATCGTAAAGTAGATCATTAACCTTTAGTTACCCTCAAAAATTACAAGTACCATCTTAGTGTAAACAGTAACTCAGCAAAAATTACAAATTGGTCAAACTATTGTTGTTTTTCTTTATTTTACCCAACCTTGTGTCGCCCACTTCATTTTATACTATTGTATGTGTTTTTGTGAAATAATCAAATTAAAATTGAAAATTGAAAATATTTCTGTTTTTATTTAACATGTGTAAATAGATCGATAGCCCGATTATCTGATTGTCATTAGCCGACTTTTTCTGCCTTCAGAACGTTTTTTCAGAATATGACGGAAATTATCTGACCTCTATAAAATGAAAAACATATTCTTCGATTAATTACGTGATCGATAGAATTTGGCTAAACATTGACCAGAAGTCAAAAGTATGTCGAATATTGCCCTTTCAAAACCGAGCATATCAATACTAGTGTAGCAAGACGACATGAAACCGAGATCTCTCCATAGCTGACACTTACCTTGAGTAAACATTTTTCACTAAAATGTTTCTCTACGATGTTCACTACTGTGTGCAGGTTTTACTGAAGTGGTATGAAAACAAAAGTATGTACTTTTACGTATTGTTATGGCTACAATATCCTTTGCACTTGAAATGTTACTTTGGTTTTTGACATCATTCAAGAGACATATTAATTCGAGGACCAAATTCCTCTCTTGAACTGTTCGCGTCTTTCACTGCTCACGTACCAAGTCTCCGTTAGTTAATGACGATTTTTTGAAGTAGTAGCTTCTTCTAGTAGGCTTACTAATTATCCGGTACAAATCTTTAATTATATGTGGTAGACCAAATGATAATAGTCAAGGTGACACAAGTCTACTCGTTTGACTTGCTAGTAGTCGGTTCAACTTTAGAACTACAATGTTTGTGATATAGAAATCTTTGTTTACACTAAGATAACACTTAATTTGATCTCGTAGTTAATCAGCTAGTTAGGTCTGTGAAGGGTTTCTTAACAAAGTCCATGATGAACAATTACATAAATCAGAATGACACATGAATGTGTCCACGACTGGTGGTCAACTATTACATGGAGTCTTGCCTGTGAAATTCTTTTCAGAAGAATGAATGACTTCTTGGTGTGTTGGCTGTTCCTTCTGAATCTTAATACCACTCTTTTGATTCAAAACTTAACCAATTACATACTCAGTGCAAGAATGTCTCGTTTTAAGGAATTTCGTCTTTGAATTTTAAGCTACAATTCCTCGCCATAACAGAACTATTCATTATCATCATTAATACGCTGAAATACAACCTTACCTGACAGGGGTTGAAAAGGGTTAACACTCAAAATGAAAGCTGTGTCTGGAAATGTTTTTTAACTTCTCAATTATGAGGGAATTAAGAATATACCATTGGAAAGATGCCGGGCTACTAATGGAATTGAATGACGCAAGCGATAAGATAATGTGGAAATGTTTATCATTTCAACAAACAGAAGAAGAATATATCACGACATTAGATAATTCGAAGTATAAACTATCCTTCGTTTCCGACCAATACAATTAAAGCATTCTACAATCTAGTTACATTATCTCAGTGTTTACAAATCATCGAAATCTGTTTATAAAGATGTAGAAAGTGTATTTGTCGCTGTTGTTAGTTTTGCAATTCTCCACTCTCATATCCCAGTCTTCATTTCCCATCTGCTTTGTATTGAGTAAAATCTGTTGTTGACTGTTTATTGATTAAGGAAGTAAGATACAAACGGTTCATCTTTCTGCAAACTAACAGGCGCTACATTGTCGGTGAAAAATTGTTTCACGGTAACCTTTAGTTAGTAATTCTGTTTATGTATCACGATACCAAGTGCCTGAAACCCCCCGTTGCTATTTTCCTTTACTTTTGAAGTAGCAATTAGTATTGTGTTGATTTGCTTTCAATTAAAAAATCATGGTCACAATTTCATAACAGATAGAAGCCTTCTCAAGTTCGCTTGAGCCTAAGATTTAATTTGGGTTGGGTGCAGGGGCTGTGACAGGCCAGTCAGTTTACGATTTGTTCTCTCATCAAATATTATCCATTTATAGAGAGATCTTAACCCAAGGAGGATTGGCTCCCAGAATGCAACACCGATATTCTGCAAAACAATCACCTAGCGATAGCTTTGTTGGAGAGTATCGGGTCATTCTCCATGCAGTCGTACAAATTATACAGACACGAATAGCAAATGACGCATGCGTGGAGATTAAAGAATATCGAGTTGGAACCCTGGCTTCCAATCCTCCTTGATCTTAACCGTAATTTTAAAAGTGTGAAGGATTATCTTTAAATAATGAATGATGAATACATCGAAGATAATTTGTCACATTTTCAGAACAGAAACTTTACACAGAATTTAGTTCCGCATTTCACGGATCAGTGATATTAATAGAAAATTCTGTCTCGTTTCAAGTGCAAATGTACGGAAAGCGATAGGGGACATGCGCATAATTCAAAATCGAATGGAGTTTTAACATGGGAGTGATATCACACACCGCGGCCCAGTCAGATAGATTTCATCGCGCACTGAATGAATTACAGGGGCCGCGTTGTGCAAAGTTGATTAAAATAAAGTGCGCAGAAATTCCGGCATTCAGTGCGCGATGAAAAAATGATTATCTGTGAATAAAAAACGAATAAAAATTCGTGGAACCACGAATTTGATTTTTTTCGAAAGACTGCGGAGTGAACCAGCGAAATGACAATTTTGGATAATATTGATGGCTCTAACGAGGAGAACTTTGAGATTTCCCGATTCTAGCGCGCAGCACATCCAGGACATGCGCACTTTTATCAGATTCGATTCTAATATGGTTTCAAAGATAATGTTCATTAAAAGAGGGCGTATGCATACAGATTACAAGTGGCGTTATGTTGAAGTGACCCTTGCAAAGGGTTCCATTGAAAATATATTATTTTGGGCCATTTCATATCTTTTAATTGATATTGTATAAAATATTTTCAATGTTTGAAAATTATAATCTTATAAATAACATTTTATGTAATAAAACTGTAACGAAATGGTAAATACGGAATATGATGCAATACAATGCAGTGCAATATGATGCAATACAATACAGTGCAATATAATGCAATACAATGCAGTGCAATACAATACAGTGCAAAACAATGCCATGCAGTGCAATACAATGTAGTTCATTTCAATACAATGCAGTACAATACAATGTGGTACAGTGTAATACAATGCAGTGCAATACAATACATCTCAGTTCAATACAGTGCAATACAATGCAGTGCAATGCAGTGCAATAAAATACAATACAGTGCAATTCAATACAATGCAATACAACACAGTGCAATACAATACAATGCTGTGCAATACAATACATTACACTGCAATAAAATACAATGCAGTGTAATAAAATGCAGTGTAAATCAAGACAATGCAATACAATACTGTGCAATACAATACAGTGCAATATAATACAATGCAGTACATTGCAATGCAGTGCAATAAAATATGGTGCAGTGCAATATATTGCTTGTGCAATACAAAGCAATGCAGTGTAATACAATACAGTGCAACACAATGTGGTACAGTGCAATACAATGCAGTGCAATACAATACATCGCAGTTCAATACAGTGCAATACAATGTAGTGCAATGCAGTGCAATAAAATACAATACAGTGCAATTCAATACAATACAATACAATACAGTGCAATACAAAACAATGCTGTGCAATAGAATACAGTACACTGCAGTACAATACAATGCAGTGCAATACAATATGGTGCAGTGCAATATATTGCAGTGTAATTCAAAACAATGCAGTGTAATGCAATGCAGTGCAACACAATGTGGTACAGTGCAATACATTATAATGCAGTGCAATACAATACAATGCAGCGCAATACAATGTAGTACACTGCAGTACAATACAATGCAGTGCAATAAAGTACAATGCAGTGCAATATAATATAATACAGTGCAATACAGAACAATATAATGCAATAGAATACAATGCAGTGCAATACAATACAATGCAGTGCAATACAATAAAATGCAGTATAATACAATACAATGATGTGCTATACAATACAATACAATGCAATGAAATGCAATTCAATGCTATGAATGTACACCTTCTACAGTCAAATAAACACAGATAAAATTGTAATAGTATGTTAGTGTATGGAGTTTGAAGTGGGTGGGGGATACAATTTCCAGTCTGCTGATTGATGACTTAATAACTTAGAAAAGATCTCCTAGCTTTTAACAGGTGGCACTTATGTCTACCTTATGTTCTTGAACAATCTCGTCTAAGAATACAGACCCGTATCCTGGATTAACCTGGGGGAGTGGTTTTACCAAGGGGGAGATTTTGCCAAGAGGGGGAGCTTTTTGACAGTTATGGCAAAAAAATCATGCGAAAAGTGCTAAGAATGGTGAAAAACTGCATGATTTTGAACGAATATTTGGCAAGGGGGAGGGGGGTGAGGCCCCCTGGCTACGGCCATGGAATACATATAGGAACTTTCCTTCACCCAGAAGAAATGGTATACAGGTATTACATCAATCATTCTGGTATTTTGTATACGAAGGTCTGTAGTTACTTTATTGAAAGATGGCAGTGTACACTGTGTACTACCATTTTGAGGTCAGTTTGACTTTATAATTCTGCGCACTATAATCTGTAATTCTCATAGATATCCTCTCTAGAGGCATCACTGTGATCCAAAATTACAATTTCGCAGGTCAAGTCTGCAGTCTTTCGAAAAAAGTTGAATTCGTTGTGCTACCCTTTCTTGTTGGGCATTTATTAACAGAAAACTATAATTACATCGCGCCAGCAATATACAAGCTTCAGCGCGATATTTTGAGTGTGTTAATAAATAAAGTGCGCAGAAATCGATCTTACTGGGCCGCGGTGTGCGATATCACTCATAAACAATTTTTAATTGCGCACTGAATGAATTACAGGGGGCGCGTTGTGCAAAGTGAATTAAATAAATAAAGTGCGCAGAAATATATCTGACTGGGCCGCGGTGTGTGATATCACTCCCATGTTAAAACTCCATTGAATTTTAAATTCTGCGGTATATCCCCTTTCGCTTTCCGTACAAATGCATGCAGTTCCCAATCCAAACACATAATTTGGATAAGTATCTGACATTATTGCTATGGTTGAATGAATATATCGATCTGGTTTGATGAACTACACATTGGAATACAAAGACAAAAGATGATTCAAGTTTCATTTTGATGGGAACAAATATTTGTATAATAACCTGCAAAGAACCTTCTCAAAGTGTAGTTTATGCATGGGCGTTCAAGAGACCTGAAAGCCCATGAACTGTTGTCAACAAATCATTTTCACTACAATTGTTGGCGTTGTTTTGGTTAATAGCATATGGCAACTTAGTGTTTGTTAGCTAGTTAATATATAAGATTAAGATATGACCACTACCTGAAGACAATCTCGTTTACTGGCCACTGATTGATGGCAGTGAATTTCAACATATTTCTTTATTTGGCGAATTTTGATGTCTCTAATGACACACCACATAGATACTGTTTGTCTTGGATCTTAGACCTACGATTACGCAGATGGGCTCAATGACCATATAAGGTACTGTCAGGTTACATTCCATTTACCAATCTGGCATCATACGCCTCTAACCATCCCTCTTCAAAGGACTTCATTTATGCTTAAGTTCATATATACTTGTAAAATACCCTTGCAGCAAGGATGCCTCTAACAATTTGCGTATAACACAATAGTTTAACATGAAGTAGGGTCTTGAATAATTAAACGCGGCTGTTGAGCGTATGCTTATTGTTACACATGACATTTTTGATGATATAACAAAAAACAGCAGGTGTGGATGTTAAAGTAAGTTAAAGTAA